CCCCAAAACCCCAAAACCCCAAAACCCCAAAACCCCATTGATAGTAATGATCATGAGATAAATTTATTAATTTCTACCAAATAAAAAATTATTAGATTTGATGAGTAAAAACTCTCTCATTCTAGATCATGAATAGAGGTGATTTGCTATGAAGGCTCGTTATCGAGGTACTAATGGTTTGCAGACATAATTTTGGCGTAACAAGCACTAATGATCTAGGAATTATTGATGTGCTATTGAGAGTAGGTATTTATGAGATCATTGTAGACACTAACTTTATCCTTTTTGAAGTATGGTATCGCACACTAACTGATTTGCAATACTAGGATCTTAATGTATAAATCATAGCACTCCAGTTACTTCTCTGCATCAGATATGGAATGTGTTAAGGTTGTGATTTAGTTAACTTTGCCGTCCTTTGATAGGAATAGAGTCTTGATTGTGTTTCTTCCCACATTCAATTTTTATAAATCTTTTTGGTTTTACTCTTTCTTGGTATGTTTCTTGACTCTCTTAGATTCAATCGCTGATTTTCTATCAATAGCTTCTTGCAATGCCATGATGTCTAGCATCTCATACTTCAACCAAAGCTTCATAATCTTGAATGGATTTTAGATCTCAGTAGGCTATGTGAGTATTAATAAAATTATATTTCTGCTTACCAAGTTTTCTAACTAATCTTTTGCATGAGATTTAAGTGGATGCTTGAAAAGTAAGAAGTTTTCAAATTTAGTACCAGCATAGGTTCTCATGTTCTGCTCTTCATACTAATATAAACATTCATTTAATTGTTCTAAAGAGATTAAAATCACAATTCTTACTATGATAAGCCCATTGTTAGTCATAAGCTGATTCAAGTTTGGAAATGGTTTCTTTAAATTTCTATAGTTTAATGTTAGCTTAATCTTTTAATTATACCTCAAGAGATTAAAAAAGTTTTCTGCACTGACCAATAAATTTGTTAATATGGTTGTTCTGTTTTTAAATCTTTTAATCGTTAATTTCACCCATAAAAGAGAAATATTTAATGGTTCTTTCAAGAATATTCTCTGGAGAAAGTCTGGGCAGAAGAGTAAGTGCTTTTTCAAGCTCAATATGAGGTCTTATAAATAATTTCAACTCATCAGATTCATAGAGATAAGGACAATGGCACACTTATTTAATAAAGAGATTGAGCAGGTGCTATCTCTCCTCAACGAATTCTTAATCTTTGTTCTTCTTTAAAATATTTATTTCTGTTAAATGCTTACCATTGCTCGCTTAGGGGGTATAGGAGGAACATATAAGCCAGGGAATCTTTCACAGAACACTTATCTTAGTAAATAAAATTCTTTATATCTTCTATAAATCTCAAAAGGACCTTCTGCATCAATTCCCTTATCAGAATTTATTTTAATTAAGCTTACACTGACAACATAGAGGATATGATCTTAACCCTTCGCCTTTTAACCATTAGTGACAGAGAACAATGCAGCAGCTTCGTCATTACCATATCCCTTGATAACTGAGAATTCTCCTTGTAACTGATTCATGATGGACTCATCTTATAGTAATTTCTTTGATATAGCATTTTTCATTTTATCTTAAAGAGGTAAGCCAACTCCAGTTGAAGTTGTAATGTTAGCTTGAATTTGAGACTAATTAGTCAAAGTTTGCTGATACTGTTTGTTTGATTATTCAGCACCTAGATCATTTAACAAATTCAAGTCATCATTATACTCGGTATATGCTCGCTCTTTTAGTTGAGTGCTATAATTAGGATTATTAAAGAATTATAATGATACTCATTGAATAACTAAGTAGAATTTTGCTAATAGCCAGAAGGAGGATTTGTAGTTTCACCAAGACCATCTAATACATCGATTTATGTTTCATCTGGTTTTTAATTGTATGGATTGTACACATTTGAGTCCTTTATATTGCTTGATCTAAGACTGGTCTGGTTCATTTATTATTAAGGCACTGTGAAGTTGCTACTCTAAGGCTATTATTGGTATGTATTCGCTCTGTCCAGGACAGGTGGATTATTGAATCTGTAAGATTATTGCTATGCAGTGGAATTTAAAGGTTCCCCTCCAAGTCCAGCTCTTAAACTTTTAATAGGATCCTCCATATAAATACCTATATGTTGATATAAAGCTATGATTACTAGATTGATCGTTCATTTTACGCGAATTGTGATTTATATCTATTTTATTATAAACCCAATTTTAATATAAAATTTAGATATATGGGGTTTTGGGGTTTTGGGGTTTTGGGGTTTTGGGG